CTACTGACCTGCTGTGTGACCTTGGGCAAGCCACTTACCTCCCTGAGGCGCCATTCCTTTATAATCATAGCCCCTCCTCCACGGGGTTTATATCTGAATTACAGGAGAGAACATGGAAAGATCCCATGCACAGCATTTCAGATGCTCTCTCAAACTGTTGTGTGTGTTTTTTTAAGGGAGGGAAAATGTAACCTCTTAGAACTTAGGAGTCTTACGGTAATGGTTCAGGTATGGTTAGATCCAGGGGCTCCAAAGATGTCATAAGGGCTCAGTTGTTCGTGTGTTTTTTCCTCTCTCTCCACATGGCCGACCCTCACTAGGAGCTCCAGGGAAATGGCATTATTACAGCTAGAAATCTTGGTTCAAAGAGAGCTTCTTTTTTTTCCAACAGGGCAGCAAAAGTCCCAGGATTCACACTGATTGGACCCACTTGGATCATATGTTCATCCCATAACCAATCTCTACAGCCCAAGTGATGGACTGTGTTGATTGGGCCACCGGGGTCACAGCCACTGCTGGAGCTAGGGGGAAGGCTGCAGAAAGCCCAGGTTGAACCACTTATGAACGAAAACACTGCAGGAGGAGAGAGTGAATATTGACAAGGGATGTTGCTTAAGACGGCAGGAAGAAGTGACCTCATAACCTGCCGCTGCAGGTCCAGCTTCCAGCTCCTGGAGGGGCAGCTCTCAGACTTGGGCCTGACCTTCTGCACCAGGTGAGAGTAAAAAACTAGCAATAATAATATATGTTCTAGCCCTAGCCAGTTTGGCTCAGTGGATAGAGTGTCAGCCTGCAGACCAAAGGGTCCTGGGTTTGATTCCGCTCAAGGACACATACCTTGGTTGCAGGCTCCTCCCTGGCCTGGATTCGTGCAGGAGGCAACCAATCGATGTGTTTCTCTCACTGGAAGTTTCTCTCTGTCTTTCCCTCTCTCTTCTCTTCCTAAAAATCAATGAAAAAATATCTTCGAGTGAGGACTAACAAAAAATTATTTTTAATATTAGAAATATATTCCCGCCCTGACTAGTTTGGCTCAGTGGCTAGAGGGTCGGCCTGTGGACTGAGGAGTCCCAGGTTCGATTCTGGTCAAGGGCATGTACCTTGGTTGCGGTCACATCCCCAGTAGGGGGCATGCAGGAGGCGGCTGATCGATGTTTCTCTCTCATGGATGTTTCTAGCTCTCTGTCCCTCTCCCTTCCTCTCTGTAAAAAATCAATAAAATATGTTTTTAAAAAAATAATAATAATAGTATATTCCCTAGATCCTTCACATATATTAACCAGCCTAATCTTTACAAGCAAAAGAGAGGTTACTATTACCATCGTCATTTCCATCTCACAGGTGGAAAACTAAGGCAAAGAGCTACTTGCTCAAGGTCAAATGACTATTGACTGGCAAAGCTGAAAACATGGCAAAGCCATGACCCAACCGCCATGCCGGTGCCCTGTAAATGTGCAAGGGGACTCGGTTCAAAGCCTCTTAGGCGTGCTGGGCTGAAGCTCGTGCCTTCTGTAGGGGGCACCACAACCCAGCTCCGGCCCCTCAGTGGCAGCACTGGAAACGTGGACCCACTGTGGCAAGATGTTCTAATGTTCCCAAATACGCCAGAGGTTTATACGAACTCTCCTGACTTTAAAACGTGGACTCAGATGTTTAATTTAAACATCAGGCAATCCAATAAATCAGCATCATTCTAGATGTCTAGGCGGGATCAGCTACAGAATGAAAACTTGGAGCCCCTTGTTCAAAAATTATTAAGAATTTAAAGACAGTGGCTGCGAAGCATTATACCAAACAACTGCCCGGGCTGCACACCCATGGAGCCAGTCCTGCCTCTCGGTAATCCTAAATACTTGTTGAGACAAAATGGACATGACACCTACAAGGTGTCAGGCATCGCTTTATATGAAAATAGGAAACAACTATCAAGCACTCACTATGTGCTTATTAATACATTTAAACCTCGCAGCAGCATTATCCTATTATTCCCATTTTCCAGATGAGGACATTGGGGCTTAGGGAAGTGAAAGCACTTGGTACTTGATAGAATTATCTGAGGTAGCAGGGATGAGGGACAATAAATGGGAATGGAGGTAAAATAAGAGAGGGAGAAAAAGACAAGAGGAAAAGCAGGCATCCAGGCCTGTCTCCCAAACTGGTTGCATTCAGGTCCCTGCCACAACTGACCCGACCGTGTGGAACTTGGGGAGGCCGCCACCGCCCTGAGAAGGGCCTATGGTATTTCTGAATCGCGGTGCCATCCGCCCCGGCTTGGCTCCTCTCCAGCGATCCAATTACTAAATGCAGCCGCATTCTTTAAAAATGTCTTTCCTCTTATGTAATGCAATAGTGACAAACGCCAAGCAGATGGTGCTGTGACAAGCTTTTTAAAAGTTGATTAGGAGCTCGTCTTTCAAAATTAATGTATGGGCATTTAAATGAGCTTCAGCTGGCCACAGAACTCCATCAAGATAAGTCGCTGGATGAATTCATTGGCCGTGCTCACCTCCTCCCAGCCAGGGTTTGACATGAGTGACAGGTGGTCAAGTTGACTTGTGAGCAACAGTAAGAAGATACCTGGTTTGGATGGAATGGAGAAATGCCTTGGGCCTCATAAAAGCCCAAAAACTGGAGCCTTTACAGTCTATTACCAACACTATTTTTTCCCCAAACTTTTACACCGTCTTTGAGAGAGTGGACCATCTCACTCTTCTCACTCTCCTACAGGGAAATGGGTTAGTCACAAACTATGTCAGATGTTGCCAGGGAGCTGTTTCCTCACCCTACCCCACCCCCTTTCTCAGTGTTCAGGGATGAGATCATTTCATTTGGAGCCAATTATAGATGGAGATGTACAGAGAAACCTCCTCAGAGCCCTCTTCTCCCATCATCACAGGCTGTATCCTGCCAGGATGGGCAAGAACAGGAGGCTGGATGTCCGGTCCCAAGTTCAATCTCGGGGTTTGCGAAGGCCATGCATTCCTAAGCCATAGCGTGGGTCTGTTAAGCTAGAATGCTGGGCCCTAACTGTTCCCACCACAGCCTCTGCTTTCCTGCTCAGCCAAGAGCACATGCTTTGGAGTCCAGTTCAAATCCCAGCTTCAGTGTTTTCTAATCACGACAGCTCATGCAGGTCACAGGACTTTCCTGAGCCTCCGTTTCCTTATCTGTAAATGGGGGGAAGATCACCTACCTTATAGGGTCATTGAGGGACTAAGACAGGCATCACTGTTTAGGGGTGAAAAAATGGTAGCTATGAAGGACTCTAAAAAGTATATGCTACAGAGCCTGGGTAGTTCAGGCTCTTACAGTCTGCTTGGGAAGACAGCACAAACACAGATACAATGATTTCCACATAAAACGGCCTCCTAGAGCCAAAACAAGTGTAGGTACAGAGACAGGGAGAGCTGGCTCCCAGAGAACCTGGCCTGGATGTGAGTTGGGCAGCCACTCGCTGGCCTCCTGGCTGTCTGCACCTCTCTCCTCTTCACGCCCCAGTATCTCACCCCAGACCAGCATACACAGATGCTGCTGAAAAGCTTACCCAGTGACTCACTCATTCACTCTCAGAGAGAGGGAACAGACAGTGATTCCCAGAAGCACCCAGAGTCCTGGTTCAGGAAGGAGGATGGAAAAGCAGCAACATTTGGGCCAGTTCCTGCCCAGCCTCCAGGACAGCTGAAAGGTACACCCTTCCCCCCCAATCCATTCTCTGTGCTCCTGGGTCCAAAGGCCTGTCTCCCAAACTGAGAGGGGAAACTGAGCCGGCACACTCCTAGCCAGGTACGGGAATCACGACTCCCCGAAAGCTCTGTGTCCATTACAGTGGTGCTTCCCCAAATGACAAGTGGAGAACTCAGTCTGAGATGGTTTTACACCAACCCAAGGTGGGACATTAAATAATAGACTACAAGATGGTTTACAACAGCATTGAATATACTAACAAGGGACTGAATGGCACCCTTTAAATGAGTAAATGGTATGGTATATAAATTGTATCTCAATAAAGCTGTTAAAATCTATATTAATAGACAGGAGAGGGCATGAGGGGAAAGGGTGGGCATATGTAATGCTTTCAACAATAAATAATCTACAATAATAAAAGGATAATATGCTAATTAGACCAGCCGAATGACCTTCCAGACATCCTTCCGGATAAAGCCACAGTGGCAGGGCTGAGACAAAGGCAGTTAGGGGCAATCAGGCAGGCAGGCAAGCAGTTAGGGGTGATCAGGCAGGCAGGCGAGCAATTATGGTCCATCGGGCAGGCAAGTGTCGATCTCCAGCCAGGCCTAGGGGCGCCCCCCAAGCACAAATTTCATGCACTGAGCCTCTAGTTCAGCCGTGGGCAAACTATAGCCCGCGGGCCAGATCCGGGCCATCTGAAATGAATAAAACTAAAAAAAAGAAGACCGTACCCTTTTATGTAATGATGTTTACTTTGAATTTATATTAGTTCACACAAACACTCCATCCATGCTTTTGTTCCGGCCCTCCTGTCCAGTTTAAGAACCCATTGTGGTCCTCGAGTCAAAAAGTTTGCCCACTCCTGCTCTAGTTATATATAACAGTTGACTCCCAAGAGGAGAAAATTAGTCCCCTTTCGAGTCTTGTAACTCTTCTAATTTGTCAGGGATCCAAGTCTCCATTAGATACCAGGGGGTCCTTACTATCTCTCTCACACACACAAATTTCTTGTTTGAACAAGAAGAGAGCAGGTTTCATGCTCAGCTCCTTGGACAGGCAACAATACCTAGCCATACTTGTTTAGTTTCCATTATGTTCATTTTTCTAATTGCCTTCTAATTATAGCAATTGATCATTCATTTATTCATTCATTCAACAAATATTTATTGAACATTATTTCATGCCAGACACTGTTCTAGGCACAGGGAACAGTGCAGGAAATAAGACAGACCAAAACCCTGCCCTCACGGTGCTGATGTGCTACTAGTGTAATCCCCACTGTGCCACTCACCAACTAGACGATCTCAGGCAAGTGATCTAACCTCTCTGTGCCTCCCTTTCCTCACATGTAAAATGGGGATGTAATTGCACCGAACTCAGAGTCCAAGGAGTCAATAGGTGAAAAGAGCCAGAACAGCGCTTGGCACTCTGTAGACATTTAATAAATGTTGACTACTATTATTTATTTTCATTTCTAGCTTGATAGAACATTCGTCTTTAAACACACGTATTTAAGCTGCCTTTTAAAATAAATTTATTTAAGTGGAAAAAATGGGGAGGAGAGGAGAGTCCATAAAAAGTAAGTGTATAGGTGAGGAGGACAAAGCAAAAGCCACCAGTGTGTGTGTAGGAGAGGACATTTGGGGAGCCGGGAACTGCGGGGAGATGTTCGCAAGGCTCTGACCAGTTGGCACCGAGTAGAAACATAAAGCTATCTTCAGTGTCAACATAAGGACGAGGCTTATTCCTTCAGTCCCATATCTGCAGGCTCCTCTCTACTTCCTGACCCTGTGGATCCCAAGCTCTGGAACGGGAGGCTCCCTGGGAGGCCTTGGAAAGGGGGGGGTCTTGGCAGTTAGGGGGCCGAGACGCTAGATGAAGATGAGGCTATGGACCTCTGGGCAGGAACAGTCCGGGACCTGCCCAAGCCTCTCCCACGTCCCTCGGCACCGGGGGTGGCCGGCCGCTTGCCACAGCAACAGCTGGTTCCTGCAAGAGACGGGCTTGGCTCAGTGGCTTTGAATCTCTAGGCTCCAGGGCATTTGCTGTGTGGGCCCCTTCCTCCATGCAGAGAATATTTAAAGTCATAGTTTACAGCAGCATTGTATAAAGATGAACATAATCCAGGCTGGATTCATTATTATATTTCATGATTATTATATCCTTTTTCTTCTGGTTTTAAAAGAAATTTTAAATGTTTTAAATTTTCTTGGATCCTAAAAGTGGGCAGGCACTGGGCACTATGTCTACTGTGGCTGATGGAAAATGGCCCTGAGCCAGCCGCAGTGCCCATCCCAGAGACCACGTGGGCAATCCAGACTCACTTCTTAGAGTATGGGGAGGTGGCAAACCAGGAAAGTTGCTTAACCTCCCTGTGACCTTTTTCAACACAGTGGAGTCATTAAGAACACAGACTCTGCCTTGGCTAGTGCGCTAAGTGGTTAGAGTGCCATCCCATGCACCGAAGGGTCACAGATTCGATTCCCAGTCAAGGCACATACCCAGGTTATGGGTTCAATCTCCGGTTGGGGTACATGTGTGAGGCAACCAATTGATGTTTCTCTCTCCCTCTCCCTTCCTCTCTCTCCTCTCTCTAGAGTCAAAGAAAGACATATCCTCGGGTGAGGATTAAAACACACACACACACACACACACACACACGCGCGCGCGCGCGCGCGTCATGGAATCAAGGAGTGGCAGACTGACCCAGCTCCTAGGAATCTCTACCATCTCTTCAACTGACAAGAGATATCCATAATCTCCACCTCTCTGGAGTTTTGGAAGGTTCTGTGTGATGCTGTGTGCAGAGAAAATAAAATATGATCATGACAGCCTTAGCCTGTGTTGCTCAGTGGATAGAGTGTTGGCCTGCAGACTGAAGGGTTCCAGGTTTGATTCCGGTCAAGGGCACGTACCTCAGTTGCAGGCTCAATCCCTGGCCCTGGTCAGGGTGCATGCAGGAGGCAACCAATTGATGTGTCTCTCTCACATCAATGTTTCTCTCTGTCTCTCTCCCTCCCTTCCACTCTCTCTAAAAATCAATGGAAAAATATCCTTGGTGCGGATTTAAAAAAATGATCGACAATAATAACTAACCATGTCAGCTATAAGAATGAAAGCTCTACTGCTATAAGTCAACCACGTGGATGAACCTTACAAACCTCGTAGCGAGCTAAAGGAGCCGATTCCAAAAGGCACATGCCTGCATTATTTCACGTATTTAAACTGTGGGGGGAAAGCAAGATTAAACCATAGTGTTTAGGGATCTGCACCGAGTAGAGCTATTAAGAGAACTGTACAATGGTTTGCCATGAAAGTTGGGACGGTGGTTTCCTTTATGGTTAAGAGCAGTGTGGGGGAATGGGGGACTGGCCAGGTTCTGTTCCTTGCCTGGGTAGTGACTACCCACATGTGTCTCCTTTCCAAACATGTATTAACCTGTTCAAATATGTTTTAGCCAATTCTCTGTAGGCATAATTCAAATCTTTTTAAAAATGCAAAATAGCCGTAGCCGGTTTGACTCAGTGGGTAGAGCGTCGGCCTGCGGACTGAAAGGTCCCAGGTTCGATTCCGGTCAAGGGCATGTACCTTGGTTGCAGGCACATCCCCAGTAGGAGGTGTGCAGGAGGCAGCTGGTCGATGTTTCTCTCTCATTGATGTTTCTAACTATCTCCCTTCCTCTCTGTAAAAAATCAATAAAATATATTTTTTTAAAAAGTAATTTTTAAAAAAAGGCAAAATAATGACAATAGTAACAACTACTGATCAAGTGCTTATTATAAGTGTTGGGCACTGTCCTAAGCTTCTAAGCACAGTGCCTGGCACACAGTAGGGGCTTCACAAATGATAGTATATAAAGATTGTTGGCATCCTCATGATACAAAATGAAGCTAATGTCTCTTGTCTCTTAAGGGGTTGGGGGCCTGAATGATGTAAAGCACCTACCTGGTGCCCAGCACACCACAGGTGCGTGACTATGGCAAGTGTTCCTCCTGCTTGTCCCAAACTCAGAGACACTTCTCAGGCTAAATAAACCCTCCTAAAAATCCCCAACTGACAGGCTAATCCCTCCCGGCCCGGGCCCTGTGCAAGCCTGCCCTCGCCAGCTGCCCACAGAAAGAATCCAGCTGACAGCTCCCCTCTGTCCTCACTTTGATCCTCCTCCTCTGCCAGTCCTGCCTGGTGAGCTCATGCCCCAATCAGACCTTCCATCACCTGTTGTGAGCCTGGGTATGGTGGGAATGGAGAGAGGCAGTTCTCCCTGGCACAGCCCTGGCTCTGCCTTCCATTCCTGCCCCTTCCTGGTGGAGCCATGATTCCTGCGACCCTCATCTCAGCCTCACCCGAGTGCCATGTCCCACATCCTGAAATATTTGCATCCAAAGGGAGAAATTGGGGATTAATCCGAGTGTTAGGGCTAGAAAGGCTTCTCCAAAGGTCGGTGAATAAACCAAGGCTCTGAGAAGTGAGCATCTAGCCCAACGAACACATCTCCAATGGTAGAATCTCAGGTCTAAGTGGGAGAGAGATCAGAGTGGGGTGGGCAGAGTGGGGCTCTTTAGAATGTGATAGTATTCTTTGCCATTTAGTTACTGGGCACCTACTATGTGCCAAGTTCATTTTATCCATTACATCTCATTTTCACGAAGTACGTATTACATCCATTTTATGTTAGACATGACAATAGCAGGTTCCGCTCCTATGAGGGGCCAGGTGCTGTGCAAAGGGCAGGGGATCCTTCCCACAACTCAAGTGGTGGGGACTGTCAAGTTCAGGTGGAGGGCTGGCCCAGAGTCAGGCAGCGAGTAAGGGCCACAGATGAGGTTTGAGCCTGGATCTGTGCCGTCTCAGTGCCTCTTGTTCACGTACGTCTGTCTATAACACCCTTTTTGTCACTGGCATTCCCTGCTCTAGGTCTGCAGTGAGTGGGGCTGCTCAATTTTAAAGGGAAAGAAATTCTCTTTGAAATGGGAGAATTCCCTGGACAGACAGACCCCAGAGGGTGCTCTCATTCCTACAGTATAATAATCTCTGCACCGGAAAAGCACTGTCCGGGGAAAAAGTCTAGGACTTGGCTCAGGGATCTGAACGGTATACGTTTAAATCCCAGTTCGACTACTGGCTAGGTGTGTGACCTTGCACATCTCTTGGCACCCAAGGATCCCAAAAGTATCCATTTTGGGTTCTTGGAATGTTTCAATGGCATATTGTGTGTTAATGTGTCCTTACTTCCTAACATGCTCCCCTCTCACTCCACCCAGGCCACAGTGGCGTCTCACTCCCACCTCAGGGGTTTTACCCTTGCTGTTCCCTCTGCCTGGAACACCTTCCCCCAGATATCCACATGGCTCCCTCCCTCCTTTCCTTCAGATCTCTGTTCAAATGTCACCTCCTCAGTGTCACCTTCCTTGAAAAGCAACAACCCCCAGAACTTCCTCCACATTCTGCTTTCTTTTCCTAGCACGTGTCCCATCAGACGAATTACAAATTTACCTGCCTGATGTGTTTCCTCACAGCAAAACATTGTCTCCATAGAGAAGGCACCACATCTGCCTAGTTCACTGCACCTCCCCAGTGCCCCAAACATTGCCTGGCACAACTCAATGGTAAGCGCTCAACAAATATTTATTGAAGGAATGAACGAATGAATGGAAGAATATAAAGAGCTTAGAATAATGCTCAGCACATAGTAAACCCAATAAATGTTAGCTGCTATTATAATTAGTACGCTAAGTGCTGAGACACCTGTTCTTGTGGGAAGCAGTCGAGGGGGCTGATATCGTCCAAGTCTAGGTCAAACCCTGCTGTGTGGCCTTGGCTAAAGCACACTGCCTCTCTGAGCCTTGGTTTCCTCATCTATAATATGAGAGCCACCAAACTTGCCTTTCAAGGGAATTTTGAGGATTCCACAATAACACCAGCTCCCTTTTCTGGGTGCCAGGACATATGCTAAGTCCTTGGCTTAAACAATCTTGCTTAACCTTCACCATTGCTCCATGGGGAGTTCATCTTACTCTCTGCGTTTTCAGGAAATTGGAGTTCAGAAAGGTGATGAGATTTGCCCTGGGTCACATAACTGGAAGTGGCAGGGGCTGCTCCTCCTCGGACACTGAGACCAGGACCTTCCGGGGCCCACCCTGACCAGGCAGCAGCATCTGGCTCCTGTGGCACCATCACACCTCACGCAGCAGAGACGCCCTGGGCTCTGCAGTCACACTTCCCACGCCCCAGTCCCACTGCTCACTCTCTGGCCCCGCCGCCGTCCCCGTGGCAACGTCGGCTCCTGGCATCCTGGGCAGGCCACTCACACCTGACACAGACCAGGTGGCCCTGGGTCAGATACTTCGTCCACTGGGCATGGGGTGCCCTCACCTGCCGGCAGCTCCCTGGAATGGGTCCCAGCTGGAACTGGACACAGTACCTGCAGCCACACAGGGAGACACCATCCCAGGCACCTGTGAGCGTTTATGGAGCACCTCCAGTGCACCTGGCCCTATGCAGGCCCAGGCTGATACAATTTCTCGCTGGTATAGTAACCTTTGGGGCAACCCAATCTGCAAAAACAGGTTGCATTCAACAAGAGGCGTGGCTCCTGCTCTTTTAAGTTAACCTTACTGAGGGCCATGGTCAGGCCCTCTTCCAAGCACTACATCCAAAAGACTATATGGTTTATTTCTCATCTGTCTCCTCACTAGAATGTCAGCCCCATAAAGGCAGGAATTTCTGCTTGTTCTGTTCACCATAGTGTCCAACTCCTAGAACAGTACTGGCTCAATAAAACTGTGCTGAATGAATCATTTGGTCCAATAAGGAAATCCTGTGAGGTAGGTGTTGCCCCAGTTTACAGAATAGGAAACTGAGGATCAGAGAGTTAACTTGTCTACAGTCACAGCTAATAAGAGGTTGCGCCTAAAATGGAACCATCAATAAACCCCAAAAACCTAAATTGACGCTCCTAACCACTCCATTTCATTTCACAACGGATCCTATTTTATAGAAGAGATTCCCCATGAGAATTATTTAAAAGGGAAACTTCCCATGATGGGGTATTTGAAGAGCCAATTTGCCAGAATTTTACCTCTACCCAACTTTTCTACAAATGGCAGTAAATGGCACCCCCTGCTGGAGGAGGTGCAGCTTATCAAGGACTCAGGGGTGACTGTGTGGAGCTACTGCCCCCTGGTGGCTGCAGCCTTTGGGAGGCCTCAGCAGGAGATAGTTTCCTCCTAGGACAGCCCCAAACCTGTCCCTTCCTCTCTGAGCTGGCCCCAGAACTCTTCAGGAATCTGTTCCTTACCAGAAGCCTGTGATCAATGAAACTTCTGTCTTCCCAATACACTTTCTCTTCCCTTTTTGTGGTTTATTTGGGGAACTCTTGCCCTCACCCTATTTGATCGTGGAGGGGTAAGCAATCTGGGTGGCTGGTCCTGGCTGCCCACACCTGCCACTAGCCTGGGCAGATGATTAAAGCTGACCAATCAGAGTTCCCATCCTCCGGGCCACAGTGATTGGTTCAAGGATGGGCTGGACCAATCAAATTCTCCTCCGGAAATAACACACTAAGACTGGAGGAAGGGACCTGGCATTGCTAAGCTGGGAGGATGTTGGGCTGCTGGTTCCCACATTGGCCACTGCATGGAGAATATTAGAGAGAGAGAGAATGAATACGAAAGTGAGTGCTGACAACACTATTTGACCTCATAATTGAAGTAACACTATTTCAAAACTTCCTTCCCAGTTATATAAACCAACGATACCCCTTTCCACTTGAGCCAGCGTGAGCCTTCTGTCACCTGCAACGAAAGGAATCCTAATATAGCTCCCTCTCTCTCTCCATTGCCACTGCTTTTGTTCAGACCTTACTCTTTCCGTTGATATTTGTTGAGCACCTGCCATGTGCCAGGCAGTATCCTGAAACTTGACCTCATCACCACCATCCCCAGCCCACGGGTCTGCCTCCAGCCCCTGCAATTAACTCTTCACAAGGTACAGGGCTCTCACCCTGGTCCAACCCACATTCCTCTCTCGCCTAGACCTGTGGTCAGCAAACTGCAGCTCGTGAGCCACATGCGGCTCTTTGGCCCCTTGAGTGCGTCTCTTCCTAAGCCTTAGGAGTACCCTAATTAAGTTAATAACAATATACCTACCTATATAGTTTAAGTTTAAAAAATTTGGCTCTCAAAAGAAATTTCAATCATTGTACTGTTGATAGTTGGCTCTGTTGACTAATGAGTTTGCCAACCACTGGCCTAGACCATTGCAGTAGCCTCCCTATTGATCCCGGATTCCCTTCTTGCCTCTCTCCAAATACCATTCAAAGGGATCCTGTGAAAACTCAAGGGAGATCATGTCACTCCTCTGCTCAAAACCTTCCCATGACTCCCGTCTCATGAGAAAGCGTCCAACTTCTCACCACAGTCGATAGGCCCAGTGAGACCTATTTCTGACCTTATTTCCTACACTCTCATTCTCCCTGCATTCCAGGCACACGGGTCTGGCTGATCCTGAACACACGAGGCATGGCCTGCCCAGGGACCTTTGCACTTTCTGGTCCCTTTTGCAGGCCTGCTCTTCCTCTAGAAAGCCTCTTCCAGATCTTAGTTCAAGTGTCTCCTCAGTGAGGAGGCCACGGGCACGCCCACCCTCTTCCCTACCTTATTTCTCTGCATAGCACTTAGCACCATTGACATGCTATTTGTTTATTGTCTGTCTCCTCCAACTAGACTGCCCACTCCATGAAGACAAGTAATGCCTGTCCTTTTTTGCTCCTGGCTATAGCCCCAAGGCCTACCACAGTGCCTTTCATATAATGGGCACTCAATAAACATTGAGTGAGTGAATTAATTAATTAATTTTTTTATTTTTATTATTATTTTTTTATTTTTTTTATCTGAGTTCTTTAATTAATTAATTTTAATGGAGACCACTTATTAAGGACTTCAAAAGCATGTTCATGAGCTTACAAACGTAACAGGACAAGAAATGGGGAGTCAAGGTAAGAGAAAGACATGATGAAAATGTGCACAAAGTTTAGTTTGACTTTGGGTTCATTTGCTTCAACTTACCCTAATATCTCCTGCCCCTTGGGGACAATTTGCTTTTTCCGTTCTTTCCCGTATCTGCCTGTGGTTATCAGAGCAGGGACTGTGGGCCAAGGAGAAAACAGTTAGGTAACTCAGCACAACCACAGGAAGCTGAGGCAGGTACTCCCAGCTTCTGAGTCATTTATATGGCAGCCCTAAGGAGACTATGGGATCCCAGAACTGGGTAAGTGGTCCCCACTAGTACCGTTTATGTGATGCTGGAGGAAGAATCATATTTATTTCTGAGACTCAGGGCCCAGCACAGTGAGTTGCATAGGGGGTCTCAAAAGATTTTTATAAATATATGAGTGAGTAAAAAAGTAGATAAAAGAATTAAAAACTGGTTGGATGGATGGATGCATGGATGGATGGATGGATGGGTGGATGGCTAAAATGATGGAAGAAAGAAAGAATGGATGGATGATGAGTAAATAAATAGGAAGATGGGATAGAAAAAAGACAGATGATGAATACAAAGAGGATGGATGGAGGGATGACAGATGGAGAGATGAATGAATAAAATAAATGGATGGAAAACTGGACACATGGATGGATGGATGGGCAGATGTAAGGATGGAAGAAAGGAGGTACAGAGGGATGGATAGGTAAATGAATTAATACATTATTTTGTTGGGCCAACTCCCAAGTCTCTTCCTTCCTAGAATAGACAGAAAACACAGAGAAAGAGAAGTTGGTGATTCATTAGGAAAATAACAAGTCCAAAGGAAGTCCCAACTCCTCCCCATTCCCTGAGTGATGGAGCTGAATCAAAGAATTGGTATTGCCTGGCTGGTGTGGCTCAATGGTTGAGCCTCAATCTATGAACCAGGAGGTCATGGTTTGATTCCTGAGTTGCAGGCTCCATCCCCATAGAGGGGTGTGCAAGAGGCAGCTGACCAATGATTCTCTCTCATCATTAATGTTTCTCTCCCTCTCCCTTTCTTTCTAAAATCAATAAAAATATTTTTTTTAATGATTGGTGTTGAACTAATGCTAGTGACCTAGAAAAGGCCCACACTGGGGCAGCCCAAGCCCCTCTCCTGCTGCTGCCATAGACACCCTTTGTGGGCTTGGTCTTTGCCATAACACTTAGTATGAAATTCCCTTCCTCTCTTTAAACATCCATGGTGCTCCTTTTGGTGCAGCCTAAGGAAGTGAGGAGAGCCCCAGAGAAGCCCAGGTTCTAGTCCCAGCTCTGCCTCTTATAGCTGAGTGATCTTGGTCAAGTGGCTGCACCTGCTGAGCCCGACTCCTCAAGAGCAAAATGGAGATGATACTAGTACCTATATCAGTGATGGCGAACCTTTTGAGCTCGGCGTGTCAGCATTTTGAAAAACCCTAACTTAACTCTGGTGCCGTGTCACATATAGAAATTTTTTGATATTTGCAATCATCGTAAAACAAAGATTTATATTTTTGATATTTATTTTATATATTTAAATGCCATTTAACAAAGAAAAATCAACCAAAAAAAAATGAGTTCGCCTGTCACTTCTGACACGGGTGTCATAGGTTCACCATCACTGACCTATATCATAGAGTTATTGTCAGAATTACATAAGATGATTTATGGTGAGCAATGTATCTTGGGCACGTTTTGTGTCTCCATGAGCCTTGGTTTCCCCTTCTAAAAAAATGAGAATAGTATCATTGGCCTCACAGGGTCAAGGAATGTGGCAAAGTGCTTGGTACATAGTAGGGGCAGTCAGGTAGGTCTTCCTGGGAAACTGACATCTGGGCAGGAAATAATAGGCAGGGCAAGGTTAGATACAGGTGACAGGGGAGAGGGAGAAGGATTTTAGGCAAAAGGAATGACATTGCCACTGCCATCATCCCATTGCCACCACCTGGTCCAGCCACCATCCTCTCTTGTATGCACCACTGCGGTCACCTCTTCCTTGGCCTCCCTGCTGCCCTCTGACCCACTGTCCCCACAATGATCAGAATGAGCCTTTAAAATGTGGGCAGGGGGGCCCAGCAGGCGTGGCTCAGTGGTTGAGCATCGACCTATGAACAAGGAAGTCACAGTTTGATTCCCGGTCAGGGCACATGCCCGGGTTGTCAGCTCAATTCCCCAATTGGGGGCGTGCAGGGGGCAGCCAATCAATGATTCTCTCTCTCCCCCTCTCCTTCCTCTCTGAAATCAGTAAAAATATATTTTAAAAAATAAAATAAAATGTGGGCAGGGGCACTTAGAGATGAGGTCACAGGAGGCAAGAGCTTATAGGCCATGATGGGGCATTTGGGTTTTACTCTAAGGGCACTGGGTCACTATTGGAGAATTGAAAGCAGGAGGGGGGACACCAGGGTAAAGTTTGTAATATAGTTGTAGAATGACCTCTCCCCACCAGGCTGCAGCATGGAGCCCTGCTGCCTGCTCTTCTACTCCTCCAGGAAAACCGCTGTACTCTCTCAGTCACTTTCTTCAGCTACAAAACCGGCATCACATATTTTTTTGTAGCGGCATAAAAACTTTTGTCCAGGTGTGCAATGTAGCTAACTTCTGTAGTTGTGCCTGTCCTGCATCATTCAACCCAATTTTCCTTTGGAGAACACCTCTCCCCTAATCTCACTCAAATAGGACTGACCCCCCTCCCAGCATCAAAGGGAGCACATGCCCAGGCTTGGCCAATCAGTGTATTCTATCGCTCTGGGCATACTGATTGGTTTAGCAGTGGATACATGACCCAGGTCAAGCCAATAAGATATCATCCCAGGACATTTGCTGAAACTATGCGGAAAGAGACCTTTTCTTCCAGCTGTTAGGTTGGAGGTAAGCCCGGAGCTATCAAAGACCATCCCCAGCTGGCCTGAGAATGAGGCCAACTCGAGGAAAACAGAACTGAGAAACGGAGAGTCCTGGCCACATTGCTTGTGCTCCTGGATCCGGCCATGAATGCACCCCCTGGAATTTTAGTTACATGAGCCACACCTTTTTTGGGGGGTAGGGGGGTGTTTTAACCTTTATTGTTGGAAGTATTACATATGTCCCCTTTTTCCTCCCCGTTGATCTCTCCCAGCCTGCTCCTACCCCCATGCCAGGCCTTCACCACTCTATCGTCTGTGTCCATGGGAGCCACACATTTTTGCTCAGGTCAGTTTAAGTTGGGTTTCCCATCATGTACATACAAAGTCCTGATGATTCACACTGGGAGATGAGTAGAAGACGAGATACCCAGAGGAAATCAGAGCTTCTTACCTCGTCCACAAAGTGAGAAGAGGGGATCAGGGCAAAAGGAAGGCAAAGTCTTACCCCAAACTTGGACCCCACACAGGATCTGACAGTCCCCCTGGGGGCCACCCAACTTACACAAGGACTGCTGGCACTCCACTCCCTGGTGGCTCCGGTACTCCACGCAGCCAGCCTGCTCTTCCAAATGGGGGCAGGGAGCACCCCCATTCCTTGGCTCCTGCAGGACATGCCTCCTGCGGACACGGTAGGAGACCTGACAGGGTTTGGCACAGCGACTCCAGCCACTCCACTCTGCCACAATGCAGGAGACAGCTGGAAGAGAAGGTAGAGTCTCCAGGGGCAACTTGCATGGCTTTGGGCTGGCCTGTGGCCAGATCTCCACCTTCCCACAAGCCAAACCCTCAAAAACACCACACAGAGCACTAGGACTCCTGCAACCCTAAGCCCATGTCTTCCTCAAAAGTTTCTCTATAATAACCATTTATACATCTACCTAAACTTAACATTCCCATGTTTTATTCATCCATCATCCTTCTGGTGATCATTTAAGTTGTTCTTGTCACTCATTCCTTCAGTAAACATTTCTCTTTTTTTAATATTTTTATAGACTTCAGAGAGGAAGGAAGAGGGAAAGAGAGATAGAAACATCAGTGATGAGATATATTCATCAATTGGGTACCTCCTGATTAACTGGCCGCCTCCTGAATGCCTCCTACTGGGGATTGAGCCTGCAACCCAGGCATGTGCCCTTGACCAGAATTGAACCCGGGACCCTTCAGTCTGTAGGTTGATGCTCTAATCCACTGAGCCAAACCCGGTAGGGCAGTAAACATTTCTTAAGCACTGAAAACAACTGATTTCACCTCTCTGTGCCTCAGTTTCTTCCTGTCAAATAGAAATAAAAAGAATATTCACCTAATAGGGAGGCCTTGAAGATTCAAATGGATACAACATACACAGCACATGCTTCTGACACATAACAAGTGCTCGGTAAATACAGCTAACCCTCTGCTGCAGCGACATGAGCCTCAGCTACAGCAACAGCATGGAGTGGAAAGCAGACTCTTACAGAGGTTGCTTCTGGTGACATATGTACACACAGTTTAAAACCTGCAAAAAAGTGCTACACAACGTTTAAGCATTCCCACAGGCATTATATGCCACACTAGAGGCCCGGTGCATGAAATCCATGCAAGGGGCTTGGCCCCCTCCGCAGTGGCCCCCGCCACCACAACTTTGTCTGGAAGGTCATCCAGAAGGACGTCCAATCTAATTAGCATATTATGCTTTTATTATTATAGATATCTATGTTGATCCTCATTATTTAAAGATTCTGTACTTGTGATTTTGCCTGTTTGCTAAAATTTACTTGTAACTCCCAAATCAATACTTGAGATGCTTTGCTGTCATTCACACACAGCAAAAGTTTCCAGTCGCCCAAAGTACAGCTGATGTCAAAGGAGACCCCATCTGCCTGCTGGGATGGAGGCGGCAGGTGGCAGTGCCATGCAGAGCAAGAAGCTCCAGGTCAGGGGCCAGTCGGATGGGGTGAGTCCCAAGTCTCACACACACCACACACAGTCATGCACACACACACACATACACACACACACACACACTCATGCACACACAGGGGGATCCTACCGTCAAACTTAATTCACTCATTCCACAAATATAGGCTCAAGTCTCCCTCCCCCTACTGAGCAACCATATAGTGTGGTCTGGAGCCAGACTACTGGGTTTCAAATCCAAGATCTGCTGCTTAATAGCTATGCAACTCTGAGCAGGTCACTACCTCTGTGTGCCTCAGTTCCTCATCTGTAAAATGGACATGAAAACACTATTCCATAGGGTTCTTGTGAGGTTTAAAGGAGCCAATTTATTTAAAGCACTTAAGCCCTGGCTGGGTAGCTCAGTTGGTGAGAGCATCATCCTGTTATGCTAAGTTTGTGGATTTGATACCTGGTCAGGGCACGCACAAGAATCAACCAATGAATTCATAAATAAGTGGGACAACAAATTGATGTCTCTCTCCCTTCCGCTTTATCTCAAATCACACACACACACACACAACGTTGCACCAGGAGACACAGTGGTGAACAGTAAGACAGATGGGTGCTCACGAAAAGCCCTCACCAGCTCTGAGACATGTCCTAGTTCGGCAACATGAAAATGTGAGACAAAGTACATCCTTGAGCTGAGGGAATGAGGTTATTGTGTTGGAAACACAGTGTTGCTTCTGGCACCTCAGGAAGTCATGTAGCTTTGCACAGATCTCCACTTTTAGCAGAGCTGAAATGCTCAGAGGAAGGAGGGAGGGAGGAGGGAGGAAGGAGGAGGGAGAAGGGAGAGAGGAGAGAGGGAGGAGGGGAGAAGTAGGGAGGAAGGGAGAAAATCAAGCGTGGCAACCTAACAATCATGATTGCTTCACCATGCACCTGATAATGACATCAATGATGTCACTGCTGCTGAGCCAGGAAGTCACGTGTAACCCTCACAACAGTCTTAGGAGATGGTGTGCTCTCGGGCCTCCTTTGTCCTGTGCCCTCTGGGAAGCCTGTGCATCACAGAGGCTCTCTGACCCCAGATGCCACCGGACTGCAGCGCATGGGGGTGCTGGTAGGAAGGAGAGTGCGGCCCAGGTGTTCGTTGCCCCCCCGCCACCCCTTGACTCAGCCTTGGCTCAGCCTGGCTCCTGGTGAGGGGGCCCTTCAGCCATGAATCCTGCTCCCACCAGGCTCCCATAACACCATTTCCTCCTGTAGCCCATTGTGAATACAGCCCTTATCAAATTCTCTTCCACTTCATTATTCATGCCATCTGTCACTTGCCAGGGCCCCGATTCCCTATATGTATTTGTACTATTGACAAACCATCTCACAGAAGAGGCAACTGGAGCTTAAGGGGGCAGAATATCTAAGTCAAGCCAAGGAATTGGAGTTAGACAAACCTGGGTGCGAACTGCAGGCTCACAGGTCTGGTGCAATGATGAATGCAAGGCACTGAGGAGACCGTAAGTGCTCAGAAAAACGGTGATCTTTATACATTTATTTGGCAACTATTTAGGGCCTACTGTGTGCCAAGCACTGAACTGGGTGACAGGAACACAGGTGAGCAAAGCAGAAAATGCCCCTTCCCTGGAGGAGCTGACATTCTGCAGAAACAGGCAATCAACAATACAACCTATGATGTAATTTCAACTAGTGATCTGTTCTCTGAGAAACAACAAAGCAGAATAAGAACGGCAGGGGTGAGATGATGAGAAACTGTTTTAGATGAAGGGGTCAAAGGAGGCAGGCCTCCAAGACAAAGAACATCTGAGGAGTTGATAGAGGGAACTGTGTAGGTACCTGGGGGGTGGCGGGTGGGGGTGTAGGGGAGAGGGGTTCTAGGTAGAGGAAATGGGCAGTGCAAAGGCCCTGGGGCAGGGTCAAAGTTGCATGCTGCAGAGACAATGAGGAGGCCAGCCATGTGGCTGCAGCAGGAGAGAGTGTAGGAAGTGATGTCAGAGACGGAGAAGGCAGTGATAGCACACAGGGCTTTGATGACTATTATAGGAATCAAAGGGGAGTACCAAAGTCCCACCATGATTCTCTGCCCTGCCCTGCCCTGCCCTGCCCTACCCTGCCTGTCAGGCAGATGAGAGATTTGCAGAAAATTAGGCAGATGCCACCCTACACTTCTTTCCATGTGGTTGGCATCTGTGAAGTCACCAAGCAGCAAGCTCATGTGATATCCCCAGGGAACTGTCATCGCACCTCACCTAGGCCTAGGGTTGCAACTCAGTACATTCGTGTGATTATTCATGGCTTGTCAGCCTCCGCCACTCGTGTTGGCTCCACGGAAGTTCAGTCTTTGTTCCTTGCTGAATCCCAACACCAAGCACAGTAACTGGCACATGGGGACCCAGTAAATCATGAGTAAATGAATACTGAATGAGCAACGCCTGCCTCAGCAACAACAAAGGAAATATGACCACAGGTTGGCATTGTAACAAATACCACCAGATGGCAGTGTTTCTCAAAGCAAAGACCATCCCACCTTTTCCCGAGTAAAGGAGAAATTCTAGCTTATCAGTGTAGCTAAAAAGAGGGGGCAGAGGAGGTGGGAGGTTTAAAGGCTGCTCATCCCACCCTAGAGACCCAGATACCATCATGCCAGCTGAGCCGGCTGGAGCCAGACCGAGTTTCCCACAGTCCCCTTGGATCCCTCTGCCCCCACTCTAACATCAGGAAATGCCCTTCTAGACAATCCAAACCCCACCTTCTTCTCTGAACCTCACTGCCCAGCCCCTGACTGTCCATCCTCCTCACTGTCTACCAAAAGGATTTTTCTGGAATGCAGCTCTGACCTGTCACCTGAACTCCTTGAGTGATTCCCGTATCCTATTGACCTGGTTCACAAAAGCTTTTTTTTCTTATTTCTTTTTTTATAGTGGATCATAAAGACCCCCAAGCCTAGTGGCTAAAATTTAAGTTGTTCCTGCAACACGCCCTCGGTCATTCACTCCCTCCTTCTTCTATTTCGTGTCCCAGCACCCTTTTACTTCGAGTTCCTTTAAATGTAGTCTCTCATAGCTCAATGGCAGGCAGCTGTCATTTCTACCTTCCCAGCCCCGTTACTGCCACCTTCTGGTAACAATGCCTCAGTTTTCTTTTGAAGAACCAATCCTCCCCACTCTCAGTCCACATGGTTTGAATAGAGTGACCTCATCCCTTATTCCTTTAGTGCGTTTGAGACAAACATGGCCAATTCACATATTCCTTCTCCTCTGCTCAGTAATTGATTGAATCAAGGATGAGCATATAACCCAAACTGGGCCCATGAAAACCATCCCTAGGATTTTGGTTGGAACAAATGGGGAAAGAAAGCTCTCATTCTAGTAGGGACACCAGTTCAGAGCTACTGGGTACTACCTTTGCTGCCATTTGGTGACAGCATGCCTGAGAATGAAGCTATCAGAAGCAGAGCTGAAAGGTGGAGAGAGATAGAGCCCTGATGATATCCTCAGAGTCCCTGGATCCAGCCATGCCTGAAACCAGAGTAAATGAACTGTTTCTTAGTTACCTGAGCCAATCAATTCCCTTGTTAGCTTAAGTCGATTTGAATTATGTCAAACCTTAGAGTAATGACTAGGACAATGAATACATAAGTGCATAAATGGGGACATTGATCCTTACAGGGCTCAAGTGAGAATTAAACGATATAAAATACACGAAAACGTTTGGTAACGAACTTGGAAAATAGGAAGCAATGATGTCCATCCTTTAAGGCCTTACTAGTCACTCCAGCTCTACCCTTTCCTTGCCT